AATACCAATTCACGTGAAAGGGTTAGCACGCTTCAATAGATTATAATAATGAACCATAAATACTACAGTACTATCCCAAAGACTGAACGACTGTCCAATATGAGAAATTCCACATTATTTAACTTCATCCAAATCAGTAATTCTAAGAAATTTGGCAAAGACTTGTCTGCATCAGAAACTACATGTCATAAATCACAAACTTAAAATAGTCGCCAACCCTGACACTCAAAATGCGAAGGAAAAGTGTGACAAATTGCAATTACTCTGGTCGCTGGAGGATTAGGTGAAATTAATGCTCGCCGATCTAATCGTAAACCAATTTTCTAAAGTGAGATGCTTTCGAATTTTAAAGTTATATACAATAATAATACTGATAAATAGCAACGATAAGCGATTTGTTATCTGATTTTGGTATTAAAAGAATCGAATTATATGATTCACAATCTTTAAAAAAAGATAATAAATTATTGTTCAAAAGTTAGAATGATAGTATCACTGAACGTTGAGCGGGATGGTCCGGAAAAATCATCAATTTCCGAAGCGTGAAAACAATAATTTGGCAGACGCCGCGGAGTCTGCGGCTCGCAGGAGCACTTTCTCTGCCTGCGCCGGCGCAGACCGCGACGCGCACGCCACAGTCAAACAAGCGAGCGCCCGCGCCGCCCGCCCGTGTCGATATCCGGAATTATTTGACGATTCAAAATCCATTCTTCATAATTTATATTCAAGTTCAATGTTTACACGTGCCAAAAACAAAGTTACATCAAAAGCAAAGTTGTTATAAAGTGTTTTTTGTTAAATATTAAATGATATGAAGATATTGAAACACAATAAAAGAGAATCATCGGTGATATTCTGAAGCTCGTTGGTAGATAGGGCATTGCCCTTTTCTCAAATATACATAGTGTTTCCTGGAATATCTTGAGGGACAGTTGTGAACGAGTGCATTTATTATGCCTGCCGTTTGCCAGCCAACCTGTGACAATGACCAAGACGTATGGTGACCGCATCTGACGCGCGTGGACATCGGCCAAATCATGACGCTTTGGTATACAGATATACTGGTGAGGACTGCCGCTGTGATTGTTCAATGTATTTTAAACTACCATTGTTTTCTTAGGTTTATATTAAATTCGTTTCATGTAAATAATTTTAGATATTCTAAATTTTGCCATTAATACTGATAAATTCTTAATAAAATTAATTGGATGAAAACTTGAAATTATTTTTAACGACCGTTGCAGCACACGGTTTGTGTTTACCTGATCAGTAATGATAAAAAACCACATTAACTTGCCTTGTTAAAATTCCAACCACTTATTATACTATACACTTACAGTATTATTTTTTATTACAGGCAATACATTTTGCGTGTCTTTTATTTAGAATTTAAGAAAATCACAATCGACGAATCCATTTTGACATCTTTGTTTTATCTTCTCTATAATTCCACTTCTTGTCATTGCAATGATAATAACGGTTTTCTAACCTCATTGAAATATCAAGTTGAACTCATCCAAATGTTCATATCTTTTATAGGTAGAACACAAGTGTTAAGTTAACTGCTTGAGATACAAAATTAGTTTTATACGCCTGCTATATTCAACCAACAGATCAATTAAGATTTTGACATTAGCCTCAAGGGCCTTACTCAATCTCCGAGTGAAGCCCCGACTCACAAATTAATTGATGAACAATGACGCGAAGAATCAACATCGTTAAACTGTTATCGTGAGTGAACCGCAACGTACAGGGGCATGGCGGCGCGCGGCCTGAAGGCGACACTACACTTCTTCTCAATTACCCACACTGGGAGGATAAGCAATTGACCCACAAGTAATATGTTATTACTGCAAAGGCGCCGGTATCTAGTTATCGGGTCAATTGCATAGACAGTTTCGAACTTTCAATACACTTTCTAAATAATCGGTACCACTTTCTGTAGAAAAAAGCACGAATACTTGCATCCTCGTTACGGATATCTGCTAATTGTTCGTTAGCATCTTTCCTGTGATGCGCACACGCAAGATGGCCATTGCGTCACTGTGCCACTTCTACGAGACCGTTGACCCGCTAATTGCATTTAATATGAATAGGTTGCGATCGTGAAACGTTGTCGCCAGCCAGCAAACATGTTTTTTTTATGTTGCAAATACGGAAAGTGAATATGTGGGTCGTTCTACGCAATAAATCATCGATCAATATCTCTAGACGGCGATCGGAAATAATTGTATGCTATAGGTACCATCTAATTTATAAAATACGAAGATGATTTGGAATATAGAGTCAGCGGTGTCAGCGCTACCGACCCATTAAATCGTATTTCTCTTGTCATGATCGCGCCGTTCCGGTCAAAATTAGAAAACTTTTTTTTTTACACGGTACTATGTTTTTGTTTATTTGCAGCATTGGATTTTCACTTGAAAGGTATTAGAATACCGTAGGTAGAAAGATGAGCCAAATGAATGTAAGGAAGTCTAGTCCACTCTTGCGCATATAAGTTTCACGGGCTTAGATCCGGTGGCTGCTGGTGAACAGATGTCAGCTTATCGGAGCCTACACAAGACGTCCATTTATATACATTATGCGTAGGCCGCCTGCCTATAAGCTTACAACCAGTGATCTCACTTTCAATTAATGATTTGCAATGCGAAATCGTACTTCGTAAAATTTATTAACCTACCTATTAACAAGTTATTTATGACTGAACTTTCCTATTGTAAATGTAATAACGTCGATCTAGTATCAGAGCTACGGACCCGGAAGTGATACGTGTAATTATCTCTTGTAGAATACATTAAAAAGTAATTTAAGTCTGCAAATGGACGTATACAAATCCAATAGAGCCTTTAATAATGTGTACCGAACGTAAACACCTTGGAGGCTTCACTTTTTTCGGTCAACATAACGCACAGTAACCTAGTTTGTATTGCCACTGCACGACGCCAAGCGCCACGCCGTGTAGGGTTGCCAGATCCAATTAATATAATTTGAATGTTTATTTATTTATTAACTTTGTATATGCCTGTCTTTGTAATGCGAATAAATCAATTCTGCCATGAAATTAAAGTCTGATACTAATGGATGAACAATTTCTTATGGAATTTATTATGGATGGTATTTGACTAAATAATATCCTTTATAAAATAACAAATAGACCTCGGAAATTTAAAACCTAGAAGAAGAAGAAGTCCTTAAACTGCGAGTGAATTATTAGTTTTATAAACTTTTGGTTTTTGAAAGTGATTGCCTTATTTAACAAACTTTATTTGATAAAAAACAAAACATGGAACATAATGACGACATTATTTTAGTCTAAAAATAATGTTAATAAATACAGAAAATTGAATAATGTCACTTATGACAATGATATTTTAACAGTCCATCCATATTTTATTAACGTCTCAATAGTTACAAATTTAATTTCTAAGAAGGAATGTTGAATGAAAAAAATAGGAAATAAAAATAAATATCGGTATGATAAAACACCTTACAGGCAACCCTGTGAGAGTCATTTGATTAATGCCGTCTTTAGAAAGATAATGGAGCTAAAAACACGAGCAACATTTCGAGCACTTGTCTGATTCACGTCTGCTCTTTTTGAAAGGTAATACCTATAATTAGGGGGTGAAAGCTGAATAGCTTTTTTCTCTAGTTCCGTGAGCTCAGCCGTGTTGTATTGAAATTGTTTGTACTATGACCACGCCCTAAACGTGTCATATTTGACGCTAAATTAGAAAGAGGCAATTAAGCTGTTGTAAATCTTTTTTTACACGCTCTTGAATCTCTTACAACTTTAAAACAACACTAAAATGGACGAAAAACTTAACTTTTTAAAATAATATAATTAAATTTAAACAGAAAAATGGATTTTCATTTTAATTTTTACTAACCTATTTTAAACAAAAAATATATAAAAATCTTTGGGAAATCACCAGTCCCAGGTAGCCAGGATGGGAGTAGACCCGGGATTGGCGATTTATTAATCATTTTTAGACATACGGCATTGTGAATGCAAAATTTACAAAATATAAATACCTGACAAATTTTATGAGTACTTTAAAAATCATTTGAAATCTTTAATCACAAATGGACCTGAACTGAAAGTTACAACATTTTGTTGATTGCTAGTAAAAAATATTGAAGCGAAAGTTCACTTTCAAGCTCGTAGGTAGGTTTCAACTTGCTGTCTAAAGCAATAAAAAAAATAGTATTTAGCAAAAATTTCACTGATCCACATTACCAGTCTATCACAAACACTTTTACATTGGGAAATTCCCACATTTGTATATTCGAGCTGTTTTTATATTTTTTGCTAACTGGCGCGTGGTAATATTATAATATATCACAAAATCTCGTTAGCGGTGAAACCATAATTGAATTCCACGAAAACCACGCTCCGTCAAGTATGAAATTATGGTGGGAATTTAATTCAGACCTGTGATTAGTAACATAATCCATCTCATCATCCATCTATTATACTAAAAATGGAATGACGAAAGTCTCATCTTTCGAGATAACGTTCTTCGTATAATATAGAATTAGAATTGAAATGTATGAAATTAAACATGTGTGTACTTTACTTATTTGGATTTAAAACCCAATGCTATCATGGTACACAAATATGAAAGTTTGAGGCTGGTTGTAAAGACAAGAAAGCCTGGCCCAATCTAACTTATTGCGCCCGGTTGCGAGACAGATGATGTAGTTTTCTCATTTTAATTACAGCCTATTTGGACGTTATTTCTTGTTATCATACTTTATTTTCTTAAATTCTGCGCCGGAAGGCCTTATTATATTTTTAATAATATTATTTAGTTAATCCGGAAAAAAATAAAATCTAAGAGAGTCAGAGGCCAACAGCCTAAAAGAAGGTTTATAATACTCTTGGCCACTCACAATTGATATTTTGGGTGCCACTAAAGCATAGAATAATAATAATAATACGTGCTACTTTACTTTAATTTCGTTGAGGTCTTATATGTATTGTTTATTTCCAGAGTCCCGGCGCAGTGAGTGGTCCGGGCGGTGACGCACAGAGCGGCTCTAGGGACGCACTCGACGTTCGCTACTCCTTAGCAGCCCTGGCCGATGATTACACCAAGCGGAAACATGTGGTGCGCGTCACAACCGCCGCCGGCGCAGAATTACTGCTGCAGGTTCGTATCGAAATGGAAATCGTGAATTTTCTTAATGTACCTAATACGAAATGGCCACTGGTGAACAACTTCCGCAATTTCTCTCAGAAGTTACTGACTGTAAACACTGAGTGCATTTTTTCTATTAGCCAAAGACGTCTTGCAGCAAGTTCGGTATTGCTAGTCACTAAAATTTGCACAAGACCGTTTGCGTGAGGTTTACACGTTGGAAGTCGCTTGCGCAAATCAAATTCTGCAAAGATTACTAGTGGATTTTCACTTTAGGCCTATCTGTCGTGATGGAGCGGCACTCCTTTAATTTTTTTTATTCAAATTTTTACGTTATTAATTGCACATCTTTCTAATATAAATCAACATCTTGGAACATGTTACCGCTGTCAATTGTTCTTCAACTTGTTTGTGTTTAAACGCTATCGGGATCCAAACCACAAAATGGAGGAGATAGACAACAACGCACAATAAGATGAGAATAGAAAGAATGAATGGGAATAGTGATCACACTCTCACTCGTTTCACAACATCTCTCAAAAATTGTCTGACAGACGATTGTGTTTCTATTTCACCAGGCGGAAGGTGCAGCAGACGCACAGAGATGGCTGGCGGCATTGAGACGGCATTCAGCGGAGCCTCCCCCCGCGGAGCCCGCGCCCGCACCCAACACCCCCGCGCCCCTCACGGTGCCCACCAACCAACAAACAGAGTGTCCATCGCCATTGCCGCCGCAACGCAGCAAGAAAATCGGCAGGAACAGGTCGCCAACAGGTAACATTTTGATGCATCACCATTAATATTAATTTTCTATACCTATTAATGTTTCCGCTGCTGGGCCCAGGCAACCAATTAAATTAATTATAGATATGGATATGGAGGCCTGATCCTATGAATTTTATTTCAGACTGACTAAATTTGTGTTGATACAATGCAACTTTGTGTGGGGGCCTATGTGGCTCATACCAACTTTAATAAGATCAACTAATTATCTTGTTAATTAAGAATATAATATTTCATTTAATAATCTAACAGTATCAAAATTGCTCCAAAGAGAATTTCTTATTACTTCTATACTTAACATTTGTAAAAGTTTTATCAATAATTTATTTTAACTAGATAATCAAAACATTAATTATACTATTCCAAAAACCTCACATCAAATGTAAATATTGAACGTTTTGCTTCATATTTACTCATCGTTTCATACGTCATTTCAGTGCCAACAATTGCAGGTCCCCCCACGCCGACTCTTCCCTCGTCGCCGAAAAACAAAACGTGGAAGGGACGAATGGCGAAGCAACTGAGAAGGATGCACGGCGGGGCGAGCAGTGCTGCCCCCGCTGCCACAGGATGGTTGGGCGCTCCTTTAGAACGGTGTCCATCAGATCCTGAACATCCTTACGTACCGCGAGCGGTGACGCTGCCCGCACATGCCGTTGAGGTTAGTATTGAAAATTATATAGCGTTGGAAAAAAAAAATATCTTTAACAACATTCTAATCTGCACCCATTGCCATGCGTCGTTGAATTCCGGTCCACAGCCTCCTGTGCGATCTTTATTTGCTTGCCAAAGATTGGAAAAACCCTGAGAGTTATTTAGAAAAGAATGTGTAAACCTTGTTATAGCACTGAAAATTAAATTCATTTTTTTTAAATAGGTGTGCATTGAAAATAGTAAAACTAAAACATCCTATATGTATGGGCGTGAGTCACAAATTTGACTTGTGCAAACTCTAATCGGTTTCCATACGTTGATCAGGCGTACGGTTTGCGGACGGTGGGCGTGTACCGCGTGCCGGGTAACGCGGCGGGCGTGGCCGCGCTGGCTGCAGCGTTAGACCGCGGGGAGCCGCCGCCGGCGACGGACGCGCGCTGGGCGGATGTACACGTCGCCTCTTCGCTGCTGAAGGCGTACCTGCGTCGGCTACCTGACCCACTACTCACTGCTGAACTATACCCGGCGTTCATCGGTCAGTACTACATATCTATTTAATTATGTGATTTCATTCACGAGGTCGTGGATATAAAAAGAGTTCCATCTTCTTTGTTACGGTCCATAGAATAGGAATTAGTTGAGCTAAGTACTAATATTTTGTCATGATAATCGAGTATATACCTTACAAAATGAGAGCATCAATTATATTTGTGGAAAATGCAACTTAATTACATTTAGACTCTCAAAAAAAAAATATATTCAATAAGGAATGTAATAAAATGCTCATGTTGAGTCCGACGTTCAATTCATACCTGCAGCCATGACATCGCAGAGGAACGAACGAACGAGCCACTTTACTATTGATACACAAACCAGTGATGTACTCATAACAATAAAAAGCGATGGAACTGCCAATTTTAAATATCACTTATTTCTGTCGTATCCGGCTCGAAGGACCACGTAGTTACCTCTCGTTTCTTTACAGCGGCTGACCGGTCGCCAGAAAGAGCGCGCGAGCTAAGGCGCCTTGTTCACGCGCTACCAGAAGCTCACTACGAAACACTCAAGTACCTGATCCAGCACCTGCGCAAAGTGGTCGCACACTCCGCCTACAACAAGATGGAGGCGCGGAACCTCGCTATTGTGTTTGGGCCGACGCTAGTCCGCGCTGCGAGCGATGATATGCTGGCAATGGTCAACGACATGTCCAGCCAGTGCCGCATCATAGAATCATTCTTAACTCATGTGAGTAACCTGTCATCATTCATCATCAGCCATTTTACGTCCCCACTGCTGGAGCTCAGGCCTTCCTTATGGATGGTTAAGGAGTATGGGCTGCTCACCGTGCTTTCCGAAGCACGGTGTAACTCGAGATAATAATATTTTTATCACCCATCCCGTGACCGACCCTTGCGAAAGTTGCTTAACAACAACGATCACGGACCGCGGCGAATTTCAACTACGCCACCGACCTGTAATTGACATTGACCTTCTATTATAAGAGAAAAATCTGTGATTCGTTTGTGCTTTCACCACAAATTGACGGTAATTGTCATATTTCAGTACGATTGGTATTTCGAGGAGGAAGAGGGCGAGCCTCCTGTGGACCCTCCTCCCACCGCGGAGGAACTGTCTCCAGCGCCGGCGCCCTCTCGCGACCTTCTCATACACAATGTTAAGAAAATAGAAGGTAAGATTAGATATTTCATTCAAAGTGACCCTTTTCTTTATTGTAAACAAGAGAATAGTTGTAATATAATCCATTGTATAAAATAATCAATCAAGATACTGCTTTGCGTACTCGAAGAATCAACACGCGTCAGTTGAGCCATAGCGAAACAAGTTTTGATTATTAAGGTATAGCTTCACCTGCGTGTGTATTACACATATAAACCTTCCTTTCGGATTACTATGTATATTACCCGTTACTATGTATAAAACCGTTGTGTAGTTTAAAAGATCTGAGCGGGTACAGACAGCGGGAAGTAGTGTTGCCAACCCGTTGAAACTAGAAAATGACAGATTACCAATAAAAAAGAAAACATTACGATATATTAAAAGAGCGTATTTAAAAACATTAAAAATTTGGAATCAAACAGAAAACAGGGGCATCTATGTGAACAACAAATCTACTGTTAAAACAGTGTTGGCAACACTGGCGGGAAGCGACTTTGTTTTATACTATGTGGAGATTATATTGTTAGCAGGCAAGGACGTATCGACGCGCGACATAGTGTCATCGATAATATCGGCGGCGAATCGCAAGATCCAGCGCAAACCGCGCAAGGACAAGAAGTGGGAGGACAAGGCGGCCTCCCCCCCGCGCTCCCCTCCCGCCCACCTCACCACCGCGCTCGCGCACTACGACGGCCTGCCGCACGACGCGCTGCACAAGTCAGTACTACACACACCCCTCCTTCACCCCCTTTTTTAACACACCGGGGAAATTAACCTTAATTGTTTAACTAGGCTCTCCAATCCCCGCAATTGAGATGGGCAGGAAAGTGTGGCTGGCCTACTATTATAACATTAATTAAAATATTGCTCATAATAACTCGATTCTATATTTCTCTCCGTGTAATTTATATATGCTTATCTGTCCTGTTCTATTGAATAAATAAAATAAATTGCATGTCAATCGGTCGCTTCCGTTTAAAAGTCTTGTTTAGAATGAATTTTTAACTTCCGCTAATATAGCTAACAATAATTAATGTTATTTGAAATTATAGTGGTTTTTAAGTAGGTGAAAAAAAAGGGCGCTTAAATTTTTTCATTCTCAAAGTGGGCAGTAGACGGCAAAGATTGGGAATTCCTGCTATAGATATTGAAATATTTATGAATAATCGTCAAAATATGTTTTATTGCAAAAGGATTTTTGATGCCAATTTATACATCAAAATCGAGATAAAATAAACTAAAAAAATATGTGTCAAAAATTAAATAATTTGTAGTAACGCGAAAATCAGTGAAAAAGACGATATTAAGACGACCATAACTTAACAATAAACATATGAAACAACAATAATACTGTGAGATCACAACACAACCCAGATCAATGCGCGTACTCAGTACCTATTTATTTGTTAACGGTACAAAATTTTAACCACCAACGTTAATCAATAAAATGGCGGCCGGGAACATCTCAAATTTGCGGGGATTAAACAAAATCGCTCAAAAACAACTCAGATGGAAACCACATACAAAACTCTGGGCAGAAAATTAAAATATTTAAAAAAATGTACTAAAATAGAGGTCAAAGCTTCAGTTATTGAATTTAAATTATTTTTTACAGAATCGACATCGAAAGTATGACAGCGCTGAATCGAGGTCGGCACGAAACCTTCACAATAGACGGTAAATATTTTCCTGAATTATATTTTCATAGTCCTGTATTATAATTGATTTCAGCATAATGCTTTGACAACGTATGTACGTCCATCATTGAGCGAAAATAAAGTTTTGACGCCATCACGACTTCTTTCCCCCTCTACTGTTTGTGTTACTTGCGAATATTAAAGTATATTATAAATGGTGTCTACTTATTTGCCCTACTAGGTGTCCAGTTCTGACGTCAGAGAGTAGACACAGCAATCCCTTTCTTTTGTCCACATTCAAAGGTATAGGAATGCGAGCGTGTTGCAAGTGTGTGCGTGTACGCGCCGATGGCGAAAAGGCTTCGTTTGTTTACGTGTGCTTACTAATAATATTTACAAAATTTATTACAAGAAATCACTATTCGAATTTGACAATTGTAGAGCGATAGATGCAAATTAATACAAAAGTAACTAACCGTAACATTAATTCGAAGAACGACGAATCGACAAATTAGCACGAAACAACATTGAGTTCGAATCGAATTGGCATCGAGATATCATAATGTGATGTTTAAAATTTGACTATAGTGTTCGATACAAATTCTATTCGCACTCGAAAATTTTCATGCCAAGGGCACAGATTAGTTGTTTACGGACGAAAGATCGACGTACACGACGGAGCCGATTCGCTCGCAAACTAACGCTTAGAAACGGTGGCCGCTGACAGCACGGCTTCTGTGCTCGCGCATCGTCAGACGTAGACGTAGGTCGTGAACATATCACCACATTCACTGTACATACATAAGGATCTCTCATCTCCATCGTGTCGTATCACCTAACGTCGCAGAGTACTCTAACCGCTTAAGTTCGATCGTGTCCGACGTTAGAATCCGTTCGAGCTACTGATCTCAATCGTACGCATTCGCAGGGGCCGGCGACCTCGTGTCCTCTCTGACGAGCACGTTCGACCAGAAGCTGCGGTCGCTGAACAACTCGTCGCCGCTCGACGACGGCAGCATCCCGTACGCGGACGAGGGCCAGGACGAGAACGACGACGGCAAGTCCAGCACCTCCCCCTCCTCGGGCAGCGACCGCGCCTCCCCCGCCTCCCCGCCGTCGCCCGCCGCGCGCGCCAGCGAGCTCAAGGCGGCGTGGCTCGCGCGCGACCTCCGGAACTCCTCCTCCAGCAGCGACGAGCCCGACCGCGCGTGGCCGCGCCGCTGTCTCCCCGCCGACGACGCCGACGACTCCGAGAAGGAGAACTGCTCGCGGCCCGCCCCGCCCGCCGCGCCCCGCCCGCGCTCGCCCTCCGCCGGGGCCGCGGACGCCCGCGACCGCGACGAGCCCGACGCGGACCTCGACCGCGCCAAGCCGAAGCGCACGGAGTCGCTCAACAGGGACCCCGCGCGGCCCGACGCGCGCGTCCTCCGCTCCGAGAGCCTCAACTGCCGGCCGCGGCCGGAGCCCGAGCGCGAGTGGGCGGCGGCCGCGTTCCGCCGGCGCGACGTCGCCGCCTGGCGCTCGACCAAGCTGAAGAGGAAGAACGGCATGCCGGAGCGCGGCATCAAGCGGCGGCACACGGTCGGCGGCACCAAGGACTTCGACAAGGACGGCTGGAGCGCGCGCCACACGCGCACCTCCTCCCCGGACCTGACGGCGGACGGCGTGTGGCCCGCGCCGCTGGTGCCGCCGCCGCGCCCGCCCCTCGAGTCCCACGTGTGACCCGCCCCCGCCCCCGCCCGCGCCCCCGCCCCCGCCCCCGCCCCCGCGCACTCGCTCTGAGCGCGCCCGAACCGGTGCAGATTCGGTGGTGCTTTGAAACTGACGAGCGCCGGTCTAGAAGTCCGATCGAGCCGCGAACGCGTCGGTCCCCGACTCCTTCGCCTGACTTCGACGATTCGAGGGGATTCCCCGTCGGGTGTCGAAACGATCCTGCGGTTCGAAGCTTTCGACTAGAGAGAGGCTATTAATTTTGATTTGACTCAATCGACTGAATAGATTAGGTCCCGAGTAAACTCGACTATACCCGTTGCCGGTGAACGACGATCCTCTAGTTTGAGTCGGCAGTGAACAGTGTGAATTTTAAATTCCGCCGGCCTTCAAACCGTTCCCGTTTAACGAAAACTAGGTTAATGTTATTATGATAATATACGGAACGAAAGAGATTCATGACTCGCTATGTAAACAGTGCAATACGATGAAGAGATGCAGTAGAGATTTGTCGGTGGAAGAGTAAACGAAATTAGCTCACTATTTATAATGCCAAAGAATGATAAAGTTGGTGACTTGAGTCGTGCGTGTCAGGATTACAGACATGGTGGTGAAAGGAATGCGAGGCTCACGCTGTCCCACATCAACGAAGCGACCGTATCGAGGAAGTGAACACAGACTTGAAATAATAGCAGAGTATTTTAATGTGTACATAATAAAACTACCAATATCGTTAGAGCGTCCCGCGATCTACATTTTATTTGTAGAGCGACTCCCTTTGTAGGTGCTGAACTACTATTTACGGAGTCTCCGTGGGATAGAAATATGAGTGCAAAATTAAATGCATAATATAACATGTAGATAAAATTAGTGCTACTAGATTATAGTTAGTACAGATGATAAAATTTTATTGGATTTTCGTCATTATGCGAATATTTAATTAATAAGTACCTACAAAGGTATAGAAATATGACCACACTCTTATAACACCACTTAAATTTAAGTAATGTTTAGATATAAATGTTAGGTAGACCTTCATAGAAATTTCATAATAGACTATTGATTAATAAAATATTATGATGAAAGCGTACATCACCTACTTGCCTTTACAATAGTGGTAGCCGATTTGAATTCTATGCACAATTTTCAATTAATTTCATAGAATAACTGAATATTTTAACGTATTACGAAGTTACCTGTAATATTTCATCGTTATTAAAAGTCTTGAATGCTATAACTATAATTAATAGATTTTTCGCTAATTAGTTAAATAGATAACAATGAAAGGCCGCTATTTTATATGTGAAGGCTTTGATTTAACAAAATTATTATTGTAAATATTAAATGCAATTATTATAAACATAATATAACGTTATATCGTATTCGCTATTACTTCAATATGTTTATCCAATAGCGTTTTAACTAAAACTAATTGACGTAACACTACACAGTGATAATTTTAAAGTGATCCCTTAGCTTTGTAAAAATGTACAATTCTTTTATGGTTAATTTATATTAAATTTGTTATCGTAGCTTTGTTGAATGCAATTATTTTTTATTGTTTTGTTTATGTATCAAAGAGAAGTATTTTAGGCTAAATTTTGATTGTTATTTATTTTCGGATGATGTAAAAATATGCGATTCGGCACAACTTCCTTTTTTTTTAAAAAAAATACGCAACTAAATACATTTGTAAATATTTTTTTTCATAAATGATATTCGACTTCTTTAACTTTTTTTAAAATTTTATACTTACCATCTTTACATTAAGACGATCTCAAGTTTGTTGAATGTTTGCAAAGCGTTCCTTTTAAAGTTTTATTTGTAAATATTATCATTTAATGTAGGAACAGTGAATTTACTAATTTTACTGAATATTGTAAGTAGAAGGTAGGTGTCATTAGCGCTAGCGGATAAGCCTCCGCTTAAATAAACCCGTTTATAAAAGACATGATGCTCCAAGAGAGAGCTCGCTCGAGTGTCTGCTTACAAGTGATTTGTATTCAAGTCTTATTAATTTTCTTCGTGTAATCAGCTATGAAATTCAAATAATCATCTGTTAAAGACATTATGCAAATGCGGTATGATCTACATTTACAATATACTTGTCATTGTGTATATTTTGGAGCAACGGAAATAAAATATTGATTCAATTTATGTTCTGTCTTTAATTTCGTACAATTGAACCTTCCTAATTCTCACAATTATAACCTGCTATGTATGTAACTGGTTTCCTGCAAGTTCGCCCACGTAAATTATAACCTGTATCACCCGTATAAGACGAAGCTTCATGTAGGTGTAAGATTTTTCATGGTGGGATCAGTTTTTCCGTAGACCCCCTACAAACATACCAAGTTAGAAATTTAACCTCTATTAAGACACTAAAAATCAAAGTTCTATACATGCACTAAGTCAGATGTTCCTGAATAATTAAAATACTTGACAGTTTTAATCCGACATGATTTTGACATATAAACAAAAATGGGACCAGGAGCAGTCTCCATCAGAAGCCTCCACTTGAATTTGAGGGAACACCTGTGCTGTGCATTACAAACCCTACTACTATTTTTATATAAATATACAAGACTGTCAAATTTCTACACTTAATTTTAAGCCACAACGCTTTGAAGAGTTCAAAATCAATTGAAGAAATTTGACATTGTGGTAGCAGATTGATTGAGGTGCTATGCATTACAAACTGCTACTACCTCTGCTATTACTAATAATTAATGAAGTTTTCATAATTAATATAAAGAAATACACACAGACATCTTAGACGATATATAAGTCTGCGAATTTGAATTAACACATGACAGATTTGAATATTCTAACAGCATCACTTCACACACCTCTATTAGTATCATGGTTTGATTTGCTATCGATTAACTAAACATGACAACATTCAAAGACTAATTGAAAAAATATCCTAAGTCTTTTTCCCTTTGACAAAAATGATAAAGCTATCTAAAGATAGATATACCCTCGATTTTAAATGAAATCTTTTTTATTGCACATTGAACATATCGTTTTTTAAGTGTGACATATTCGTGATTGCGTAGATAGTTTTGACAGTACCTTGAAGAGAAATAAATCATAATAACATGAATTCTAAATTATCTTTAATCGCAATCGACTATAAACTTTATTATCAACACCAGACGAATTAAAATCATTTTATAACTTGACCAAACACTGACAGTGTAGTTATGTATAGTAAACGTAGAGTTCAATTTCTCTGTCTTATTATAAAAGGACCAACTTTAGTATCAGGTTTAAACTATTATCCGACCAAAATTAGTCAACGCATATCATTTTCACGTTTATTTTCTGTTATTGTCAGTTAACTTAAACTTAGTACTAACTTTAGTCTTCATTTTAGAATAAATGTTCTTCTGGTTTTGTACATCTGCTTTTAAGGAAATTTGTCTTAGAGAAAAAACTATCTATCCGCGTAGCGAACCTTCTCCGTCTCCTAGTAATTTATTTTGTTATACGAGTACGAGAAAACGATACAGAGGTCTATAATAGCGAAACGATAATTTACTTTCAATGCTAAATTAATACTTCTGTCATTGACTGTATCTTCGTCTGCTCTAGAAACAAATTATAGTTTGTAAATACGCAGCGTAATATGTTCTTTTATACTTACATGGTCACTAACATCAGTACGATTGCTAAATACAGGATTGCAAACCAAGTACATACCCTGTGTTTCCGATATTACAAGGGCACCGTGCCTTGTGCAATACCGTTTTCAAAATCATTCTGATGCACAGTTTAAGTTTTGCTAGTAAGAAAACTTTCACTCAAAACCACACTAAGGGTTAAATTGAAACTAAACTTAATTTGTTAGATATTTTATTTCGATTTAATACGCTCATGGAAACAAAGGGTCGCTGCAGACCTGACGAAAAATGCATCGCATCTTATCGGTAGCGTAAAGTCGAAACAGACAAATATATAATATAACATTCAACCTTAATACACTCAACAAATGTCTTCTTCTTCTTCTTCTTTTATTAACGGCTTATCTGCGCTTTTATGAATGGTGATGTTTTTTCAACAACCAATTTTTATATTGATCTATGAGTGAAGACGATGACTGGACTTTCCGTCAGATATGCACCGACTCTAACTAACATCTATCAATCATTATTATACAGAATCAAAAATAGAATTTCTCATTCTCAAGAAGTAGACAAGTTGTACCAAGTGAAGTTATAACAAACATCAAATACTGGAACAAACATGCATAAATCCAGTACTCCTAGCGGCAAATTTAACAGCAAACGAGACTAAGAATGCCATGGTGTGTATCATTCAGGGTTCATAATTCTCAAGAAAATTATCATGATAATTATCCGACAAATATCTGATATGATTTTTTTAAATGTCGAAAGGCATTTAAGAATTGAATAAACTTTTATTTTGATTGTTTTAAATTGTAAAAATTAAACAAAATATGTTACCTGTGAAATCCCATTGAACAAAAAGTGAAATGAAAACATAAATAATTAAAAAAATAAAAGGGGGGTTTTTTAATATTTATTTTTTGTTTGTAGATCCATCCTAGATTTCTCTATCAGAAAAACACATTTGATAGTTGTTTAAAATAATTTCCCTTTAATAACAAATGCTAAAGTACAAAAAGAGTTTGAATCGTGTTTTATAATTCAATCGATCATCATCAGCCCTTTCATATCCCCACTGCAGGGGCTCAGGCCTTCCTTATGGATGGTTAAGGAGGATGGGCCATGACCCTCCACGCTGGCCCAATGCGGATTGGAGGGTATTGACGACTGCAAATGCAGCCGGGACCAACGGCTTAACGTGCCTTCCGAAGCACGGAGTAGCTCGAGATAATAATTTATTGGTCACCCATCCCGTGACCAACCCCTGCGAAAGTTGCTTAACGACAACGATCGCGGGCCGCGGCGCTTAATCACTACGCCACCGAGCTATATTAGCCACCGTTTTATAATTATCAAGGTATATTTGTCAAGATAATTATCACTTCAAACCCTGGTATTATCAACTTTTAAAGCATACATAATTACCCTCTTAGGCGGAAATATGACTAAAATCATTATAAATCGTCACGGATTCAACAAAACAATTGTGTAACAAAATAATTTGGGTTTAATGTTGATTACTGGGTGTACTGTTAAATACGCCCTATCACTTCTGCTTTTGCATTAGATACAATATTCTAATACGTAACCTAACATTATTCAGTACTGAAGCCTCTTACCTAAAGCGCATCACACAAGTTTGAACTTTTCCGTTAAATCAATTTAACTAATAAAATAAACGAACCGATTTAACCAGACAGCGAGTATTTATTTAAATATTGAGAATAAATATTTGTCTAGTTAAATAAGTTTGTTTGTATAATAATAATTTATTTAATTACCCTTAATAACATTCATTTGTGTATAAACGTCTAATCCATTGCAGCGTACGCAGAACCAATACAATAATTATAATAATATAAATATATGCCATGGCCACATATTATTTGGTTGTAATTTTAAGAAGTGACCCAGACGGTTAAGTTATATTCAAAATGGATATCTCCAATAACGTTTAAAAGTTAAAGAAATTGGTTATAAGAATTCATAATTTACCAGTAATATCATTAGTTAGTTTTAAGTGGCTACGCAGTTCCACTTGGAACATTTTAGATTAACCTCATATGCAAAGTGTGTGTACGCTGCATTAAACTAGCGGTTTAAGATCTGCGTTGAAAACTATTACAAATATTCAACACCAGTTGGAATTACGAGAGCAGCAGATTAATTGAGCTTTGTCAGGTCGACCAATCTTTTATTTACAAGAGTACAGGTAACACTGAAATCATTTTATACCATTGCCAGAACAGTAAACTTTTTTTAAGATATCCTCACCCTTTATTAGATTTGCACGTATTTAGTGAACTTGGCACTTGAAGGAACGTAGTTGCGAAGGTGACACGAATTAATTTCTCATAACATTCAACCTTAAGTGTAATGCAACAAGGTCTGTTGAATTGATACTTAGAACTAAAATTGTCTGCGCAAAAGAAATTTGTATTTATTGTACACAGCACAATGACATGTTTTATAATAAATCACCGGCTGAATATTGGGAAGAACCCTGTGCGATTGCGACGCCGAATCAAGACAGCCCAACAAAATAAAAGAATTTCTAATTTTACTGGTCTGGTGTACTGGATTGTCTCGGCTATGAACCCCGTTATTGTTATTGGAAACATGAATATGTAGTCAATGGACAATGCGCATTAATATATAAGCATTCGAAAACACAAATTATGTGTTCACTGTAGTGTACATTAATTTGTATACAATTTACATGCTTCCCCATATATTAGCACCAAGCATTCCGTACTGAGTCCACACGTATGTCCCAATGCGGATTGGTGACACTAAAGCACGAATATACTTAATGAATAAAACCAATCCACCAAACATTCCTATCTGGTCCCGTACATAGGTCCCAATGCGGATTGGTAGTGCTAAAGCGTTCATAACCGATGGAACACAAATACGTCTGCGACCGGGCCGGTGGATTACTGATTAAAAGGCCCGTGTGATCATCTTAAGTCACTCCGCCTACCGACCTTTGCGATCGTCGCTTAACCTCTGCACAGATCGAACGCGGTAACCACATATATTATAAATCTTGATGATCAATGTGACCTTTTGATTTTATTATTGATAATCATATGGATATATATTTATAATTATGTGCGTGTCTCCAAGTTCATGAGGTACCTATGAATACATATTATTGCACTTGTCCGTTTACCGAGTTATGTTCAATTTATTGTATACTTATTTTAGTAGTTTTGCAAGTTTCCATGTCTATGGTAATTTGGACATTTTATTATTAGACACATCATACACGTACATTATTACGTTTTAAAACAGCGTTAATTTTGTAGCAGCATAACTTTATAATACAACCACAAAAGGCGCAAATCAAAAATTGTTATATCCCTATCAGAATCTTCAGCATACCTCTTGTTAGAACGAGATGAACATACTTATGTAGCTTTACGTGTCAACTGCTGCATCCTCATAGAACACGATGCACGAAAAAATGGCCGCGTTCAATGGCGTATTATTATTTTTATTAAAATAAGAAAGTACTTACGCATGAAATGATATCTTTTTTGCTTTCCTCATTGTCAATGTGAAATTTATGCATTGTTTAAACACGCAGAAAGGTATTTTTTCTACAAATTTTCACAGAAAATTACGAGTGAAAATAACATTAACCACAACGCTTGCTGAAAGGTGACTAAAGTGAAACTCAGGCAATTGCCTTGCTTTTTAGTTGACAATGTTGTGCGCAAAAAACCTTTTTAAACTTTTAGTACATCATTGGTGGTGTGTATATCTTTGACCTTCACTGTACAATTTACATTGGTGTTCAAAAAGACTGGTCGACCTTTATGATAGTATAACACACGTCATACATAACTTTCTAAACAACTATATATGCAAACACGTATTATGCTACTAACATATAAAACCTGATCATGAAGCATGGACTATTTATTACGGATACAGACACTCAAAATTCATGAAATTATGTATGTCAATTTGTTTGTTAACTTATCCTAAGGAAATCGTGAATTGAAATTAATTCGCTTATGTGAATTCAGATTATTATCAAAATTTAAAGTCGATTAATACTGTTTAGAACATTGATATATCTTATAAAATATTTATAGGTAATTTGCTTCTTGTCATATAAACCGGCTATGATCTTATAACTATCTAAAATCTCTTGAGAATGTAATAAATAAATTTATCATTAAAATAAACAAATTCAAAGTTCTTTGAACTTATTTCTGTATATACCGGTCAATAGTAGAAATAATTTGAATAAAGAAAATGCAATAAAAATATGATTCGATTTCATAAATCAAATGAAATATCTCTTGGGAAAATGTCATGACTCGATCGACTAAATTTTGGAGATCTTATGCGCATTCGCGACTTAACTAATGCCCACAGTGTACCACACTCGAGACTTTTAAGAAAATAAATATAATTACATCTATAAGAAATAAAAAGCATGGGCAAGTATCATATCTACATTAAAATAATATCATAAAAATAATTGAGTATAAATAATTCGACTATGACTCGCAGAATATTATCGCCTTTAGTATAGCACCGTTTTCAAACGGAACGGCTTGTTTGAATTGTCATCTATCCTATATCATTCCCAGTTCCGAACACTTTCAATATCATTAAATCTCATAACAACAAAGAGATACAATACTCAGACCCACTTAATTTTTCTGTTATAGCCAGCAATGTTATTTTATTACATACTATAATTAATTATTCAGTGAATCGGTTTCTGGCGAGACAAATTTTTAGTCTGCGAATATGTATTCTATTCTCCGAGAAGTGACACGACTGAATGATATCGCCTTTAACTGTGTGAATCGATTCAATTGAAAAATCTAACACTATGAAGTCACAATTTCAACAAATGCATCAACGACGACCGACAAAAGCTGGCAAGGGAATCGATACGACAAAAAACAGTTCAAAGCGCTACCCTAGCAGGCGTATCAAAGTATCCATTCAGGGGCGTGTTACCGATACGTGACCCTACAGCGTCGAGGACCGCCTTCCACCATTTCAGCAGCGTCCGTTTCCATTTCAGTAGACTGGTCATAGGAAACATGGGGGATGTCGGCGTGGGTACCTCGTCCGCCGGGTACTGGGTGTGATGTCAGTGATTGTACTCGCGTCTGGTGTATCGGCGCGGGGGGCGAGGCAGGCGGCGGGGGCGGCGTGAGCGTCAGTCGCGGTCGGGCGTGGGGAGGGGCGCGGGGGCGGGGGCGGGCGCGGGTACGGCGGCGGGGGCGGACGCGGTGGAGGGGGCGGGGGAGGCGGGACCCCACGGCTGCACGGGCGGGGTGGACGGCCGCGCCTCCTCCACGCCGCCGCCTTCCAACGACAGGCTGTTCAGTAGCATGTCGAATAGCGTATCCTGTATAAATAAATACGTGTAATATATACGTGTCATAAGTGTACAATTACATAATAATTTTAAAACTTGAATAATGTTTTATTTTTCGATTTTTATTTGGTTACTAATGAGTAAATTACATAAAATTTTTAAAATAGTCAAATTATATTGGTGTTAATGAGAACAGAACGCAAAGAATTGGAAAATTAATAAATGGATATTAAATACACGCATTTACAAACGATACAAAAGCATACACAAATAAAAATATATTTATTATTCGTCAAAATATATATAACAATGCAATAATATCACATATAATTTTCGAAGTAACGACTTTTTACATTAACCGGGTTTTTTAAATTTCTTTGAGGAACTCGAATAACTGAAATGTTTAAGCGTGAAAAGCGTCTATTAATTTGACAAAGATGGCAAAATGATAAGTGAATAACCAATGCAAATGAGGATACTGGTAATTTCTAAGCCAACTCTATACTATAAAAGAAAAAAAATTTTCACGCCAAAACAACGAAAAAAAGACTATGGTTGTTATAAATTTCTTCTTTGTTGTGTAAACTCCCTAAAAAAAACCCAGTGCAATGATTTTGTGTCGTCACCGAAGCGGCGATTAAAGGTTTGAGTGTGAAAGCGGCCATGTTAATATTTACGTTGTAGTCCAAAATGAGTTCGACCTCGTCATTGTCGCTGACCGAGGACACGGAGGGCCAGTAGTCGTGGAGGGCGAGACTGGACACGGGGGACAGCGCGCCCCGCTCCGGGGTGCCGGGCGGCGTTAAGCCGAAACCACCCCTATGGCCTACGTGATAAGGTTCACTTTTGAAACGCAAGTTAAGACCGTTCACGATATAAAATAATATTTACGTATCAAAACAGTGTGAACATCTGTCTGTGATAACATTCCTAGTAAGTATATAAAATACCTGTATGTTATCGCTCTTTAAGACCGGATTAAACATTGGTGAATAAAATATTAGACAAGTAGCTATTATGGATCATCTGAGACAACGAAGGTATCACAACACCAGGACGCGAGACAATACAGAAAAGTACATTTCCTACATAGACCCTTCCGGGTATCAAACTCGTTACCTCAGGGATGGTGATTGAAAACGGAGCGCAAACCTGCTGAGCGTCTGTGTAATTGTTGTCGTCTGTGGAGGCTTGTAATTTACTCTTCATAAAATAGATCGTAAGGAAATGTGGAAATAAGGCAATTAACTAATTAATAAATATAATAAAATACAAAATCGTGTGATCTCATTGGAAACAAGTGTATTGTGTGTTCTCACTGGCAATATCTTCAGTGTAACATATTATGAGCTCTTACTGGCAACATTTGCTGTTTTAATACATTTGTTAGCTTGAAAAGAGCAAAATAGAACTTAGGTATAAAGTACAAATACTATAATTGACTTACTTGTGGGTCTGGTTGAATCAGGGCGTCGCCTCAATTGGCCAGGCGATAATGGCTGCGGTCTGGGAAGTCGCCTAACTCTAGCATTCTGGTTATTAGAGCGTCTGGAACGTGATCCGCTGCCGTGCGAATGTGACCCAGAAGGTCTCTCTTCAGGACTTAAGGCACTAGCTGTCCAGTGCCGCTTTGGGCCTGGGGGTGATACTGCTAGTGAATAAATAAGCAAACAATACATTGCAACATTCTGACTTATTTCATCTTTAAACCGGCATCGAAAATCTATTTTATAAAGTAAAATTAACTTGTATAAAATAGCTATTACAACGTAAAAGATATTCCATATGATGGTTAAGTCATAAGCACGCATGACAGACCAAATCCAAACCAAAGACTAAAGAAACCTGAATTGATAACGTAAAAAACAAATTAAAACCGATTAACGACTGCAGGAGTACAGTATTTTATGTAACTTGGTGCACATTGTTCTCAATATTTATTTTACTTTTCACAAGACAAAAAGTAGCAGTTTTAATGAATCCACTATTAATGGTTAACAAAAAAAAAACAGAAACGAAAAACAATTTAAGTACAGTAAGTATTAAAAAAAAAAGAATACTAAAAAAGCACCTCCACTAGATGGCGACTCTGGCAAAAGTTGATTTTTGCAGGAAACGATTGGATCAAAGATAGTCATTTCCGTGCCTTTTAACTAACAGATTAAAAAAAAACTGAAATTCGCAAAGTTCGAAACTTAGATATCAATACAAATACGAAAAAAATACAAATAGAATACGAGTTGTTCATAGTTTCGAAAACGAATTTCCTTTTATACGTGAAAGAAAACCGGAATGGGTCGCCATGGAGAAATCAAGAAAGTACCGTAAGGACATCTTATTTGATTTCGGGAATTACTTTTTTTAAATACTTCCTCATTCTGAAACCGGGGTCTGTCGGACACACTACAAAGTCCAGCCCGCTACAACTGTAACAGTGTGCCGTACCACCGTTTATTTGTCCTAGGTTTCAACATGCAAACTTTTTGTCTTTGATATTCAACATCATTTCTTTTTATTATCACCTTTCGTAATTTAAAATTTTGACTAATCAAATATACTCTTTATGGATGTCAGTTCGTAAAAAATTCATCTGTTGTAAACATGTAAATCACACATATTATGAATTATATAAATTTAAACATAACATTTTATTAATGACTGTTAATAATAATGAATGAGTTATTAAAATAGAAATTATATAATAAAGTGTATTCTGTGACTTGGACGATTCAAGATTTTATCAAGAAACCCAAAAAGGGGTATGTATTCGTCTTATTTGGTTATTTTAATTTTATATTGAGGTAATTTACGAATTGTTTTTATATTCATTTTTTTGTTTGTTACAGTTTCTTTTCTTTACCCTTTATACCACATTTGATTAACGACTACGCCACTGAGCTGGAGTAGCTCAGTGGCGTAGTCGTTAAGCAACTTTCGACCAAAAAATTATTATCTCGACCTACTCCGTGCTTCGGAAGGCACGTTAAGCCGTTGGTCCCGGCTGCATTTGCAGTCGTTAATACCCTCCAATCCGCATCGAGCCAGCGTGGAGGGTCACGGCCCATCCTCCTTAACCATCCATAAGGAAGGCCTGATCCCCCCTGCAGTGGGGACGTAAAAGGGCTGATGATGATTCACAAGCTAGTCAGCCTGTTATTATTTACACAACTCACCGTGCCTGGAATGTTTCGGCGTGAGTCCGTTGATGCGCATCAAGTTGAGCAGCAACATGTCCGTGTGCGCGGCGGTGGACAGCTGCGGGTCGGTGTCCGTGTCGCGGCGGGGCGCGGGGGGCGGCGCGGCCGAGCCGTCCGTCACCGCGGGCGTCACGCCGCGCGACTGCACCGCGCACAGCAGCCGGCTCAGTATGTCCGCGCCCGATCCCCCACCCCCGCCCGACCCCGCCCCCCTGCCCGAGCCCCGCGCCCATCCCCCGCACGCGCCCTCCACGTCGTTTTCACCTGCCAACGACGACTCGTTCAATACGTTGCGCGACTTTTACACCGCGACCGAATACGTTCTACTTACTTGGAGTTAAGCTTTTAAATTGTGTAAACATGAAAGAAAAATAAGTGAACGGCGTATATTAATTAACAACGTTTAATCTTTAACGCGTGAATAAATAAGTGAAACTGAAATCGGGTAGAGCGATTGACACTTTTATTTTACCATATTTAAGTAACACTTTAAATTTCAAAACAAAAGTAACTGAATCAAAGTAATTACAGCTTAGTTTTTTTAGTTACAGTTTCTTCGACCGCTGAGAAAGGATCGAATTACTTTCAAAATAAACTTAAAAAAAAAAATCTAAAACAATTTTACAAATTATAAAATAATTACTAATGAAAGTAGGGAAAGAAACGCATTTAATGTTTTTCTATATTTGTGCTACGTGTAGGGTTATTGACCATTATCTTCGTCGTCTGCAGTTGTTACTTATTTTTTTTTTTTGGAATTTAATTATATTCGTTAATCATATGTCTCCGCAACTCCGGTAATGTGGATTTTGTTTGGGTCGGACGTAAGGTCCGCGGGCGCGACGTCGGCAGCGGAAGGTGCAGTGACGTTGAGGTCTGGAAGCGGCAGAAGCGGCTGAAGCGGCCGAGGCGACCGACGGAGCCGAACACACTGACACTAGAGACTCGCCGAGTGCGCACCACTCGCACGATCCGCTCGCTAGCGATCCGTCTGGAGGAGGGGGGGAAGTGTTAGGACGAGGGATACGGGAGGGGATCGGAGCGGGATCGAGACGCATCCATACTTATCACGCTCATATTCAGTCAAATAGAAATGCGAAATCCAAAACAATTCGAAATAATAAGGGTGTAGATGGCTCTTTTAAATTATTTTGTATTTTATAGATATACATGAAATATATATAATAAGTTTTCAAAATTTCCCGCGAAGACGCCATCTTCTCACATGGCATCGCAATGACGTCATGTTCCTCTAAAACTGATATGAGTAGAGGGACGTAACGTCAGTCACGTGAGAATAAGTATAAAATATTTATTTTTGCATAATTAATTTAAGTAATATTTTAAATATACTAAGCATAAAACTGTGATTATCGATAATAGTAATGAAACACTAGCAGACGAAAATATAATATTTATTTATATTCGTTTCATTAACGGTTCTACACCCGTATTAGGTTAAAGAAATTGCGCACCGAACTAAGAACTCGCGGACGCGGCCGATGCGACCGACGCCGCGGAGCATACTGACGCTAGAGATTCACTGAGTGCGCACCAATCGCACGAACCACTCGCTAGTGAACCATCTGTATGGGACAACGGGAAATATGGACACATCAGGAATGGGAACGTGGAAACGGAATATGGACAAGGTGTTCTACGAGTTTCTAGACTGAATTCCTATGTATTATATAAGCTTATATTTGACGTACATCGAACATCTAATTCTGTACAACATATACAGACGTTATTTAATTTTTCTATCTAGCAATATATTAACGTTTAGATCTAAGCTAGATCTCCATATCACGACTACTAAATAATGGAATAGCTTAGCTTCACGAGTGACGCATAACGAGTTTATTACACAGCCATTAAGGCCTACAACGCACTAGCGTTTCCTTTATGTACGCGTCCTTTCAACGCGTTTGTGTACATCGCACTTATTGTTTGATTGGTAACACAGTACTGTTGGGAAAAAATGCACCAGTTTTATGAAGGTTATTAATTTTAATAGCTCGAATTTAATGGAAATAATTGTTTGCGCTTATTCAAACTATTTTAAATCATATATATATTTTAGTCCGTGCATAATTTACTGTGACTGATTAATCAAATAATCGATAATGCATTCGGACGAGTTTTGATTTTATTTTGTTTTTGTTTTCATACGGTAACCGTAGACGAATTGTAGAAATCCGAAAACATCTTCTTGTTAGTTTCTGTTGGTACAAATCGCGACGCATTTCATAACCACCAATGCCTCGTAACTAATATTTTCAAATAAGAAGTAATTCCAAATGAATTAACATTAGAATTAATTTAAGATTAGCTCTTAATTGCAATAATTGCGCTGTACTGCCTTATCTATGACGAGATAGAGAAGAACGCAGTACATCGAGAAAACGCTAGTGTAGAATAGGTCTAAGATAACTTTATAAGAGAAATAGGACAAACGCCTACCAAATGAATATTCTAACACACTAACACAGTGAATATTCTAGAAAATGCCAAAATGTCGTTAAGCGTTGATTATTCTTTGTAATTTTAAATCCTTATAAAGGGCACAAAACTAAGCTCTAATTCTTCTCATACATCACCCATACACACAATGTGAAAAGATAGACAAAATGTTTGTATATACAAATGTATATATTTATTACCGGACATGGTTTCGTCGTCGACGTCGTTTTCCTCGTTGGAGTTGTCGTCCACGTGGGCGGGATTGGATTCGTCAGCGAACACTTCCAGTTCACTCAATATAAGCTCCTAGAATTAAATAAAGTTCAGTACATAATCACGGAGATCAATAGAGAATATTGAAAGCAACCTACAAGTTTTTTTCCACTAAATTAACATTTTCAAATTATAGTAATTTATAAGATTCTGAAATCATAACAATATTATACAGGGACCGTCCATTAGTCACGTGATGTTTTTCAGCATTTTATAACCCCTCCTCCCCCTTGGTACATGGTGAGGTTTAAGACTAACCTCCACGCAAATCACGTATATTTTTAGTACCTACAAAAAGCTTAACTTTCGACGACGATTTTCAGTTTAGTAATCGCGCGTTTGAGGAAATGATAAATACACGTCATTTATTTCCCCCCCCCCCCCCCCCCCCCGCCCCTCCCCCTTGTAATGTTTGGTGATTAGGTTTAGGTTTAAAGACATTTATTCTCATTAAGACATATGCGCCACTTACATGAAAACATAAATACAATAACAATTTACAACATACATTCGTTGTCGTACATATAATAACTAAGTTGTTAACATTAAAATAAAATGTTTTTAACAAAGAATACAATAATCCAGTTGAACAATCATAATACACATCCATTGCTATACATTTCACTTCACTAATGTTATGCATTAACAGATACATAATTATACACTTAGTTTACCATTGCACGCAAAACAAAACCAATACAGCTATAATTTACAACACTATAATTAACTATTCGCAAGATTTTAAGGTAAATTATTCAATTGATTAATTAATTGGAGCAAATTACCAGAACTCAATTACGTGGTTTGCGAGTCGCTTTTTGAATACGTCGAACGAGTCAACATTTTTAATTTCCGAGGGTATCCTACTAAAAAGGCGCGCGCCATCGTAAGTTACCGACGTTTGGCCGTATTTCGTTCGAGGCTTGGGCAGAACAATGAAACTAGCGCGTCGAGTGCAGGGGTGCCCAACTTTTTTCCGCTTGGTAAATTTTAGTTCAGTGTGGATTTTAATGTTAATTGTTTTTCTTACAAATAGGCAAGTATTATAAATGTATAATTGCTTGATATTCATGAATTTAGTTTCGCGATAAATTTTATCGGTTGCTGTTTGAAAATTGTAATTGAAAAGAATTTTTATGATTTTGTTTTGGAGAACTTGTAATTTTTCTAATTTAGTTTTGGCAGCACTTCCCCAAATTTCGATGAGATATAATAGATGCGGTTTTACAAGAGCATTATAAATTGTAAACCGTAGTTTACGTGGTATGCATCGAATATTACTTCGAAGGGAGGCTTGGAGTGATGTTAATCTGGCTATTATATGCTTCATGTGATCATTCCAAGGCAAACATGCGTCCATATGGAGACCAAGATATTTTTCGTGGGTTTTTTCTTGCAAAGGTGTGTTATTTATGGTAAGAGGTAAATAATTGGGTAGTGGTTTGTTTTTTGCTTTAAAAAGTACATAGCTAGTTTTAGAGACATTAATAGGTAACAAGTTGTATTGAAAGCAATCATAAAGAACATTGAGGTCGTGTTGGGCTTGTGAGATAAGGTCATGAATTGAAGAACCAAAGTAAAATACGCATGTATCGTCAGCGTAGAGAGTGAAATGCGCTTTTAAGCCCAACTCGTACATATTATTAATATAAACCAGAAAGAGGAGGGGTATTGATTTGTTTACGACCCCCTCCCCTTTTGTGATTAATGAAAGAAGATAGATTTGTTTGCACTGAATAGGCACCGAAACTACTGCACCTATTTTAAAAATTCCTGGTTACATAATACGCTGGTGACATAGGCTATCATTTACGTGGACGAAGTTGCGAGAAAATAGCTATTATATCATTTGCCCACTCGAGAAATGAAATGTTTCAGTCTTAACATTTTATTTAAAATGAAATAGCTGCGTCCTTGTCAGTACGGCTTCGCAGTCAACTGCGAAAAACATTACACAGGCGCAGATGTTTCGTGTTCAGGGTTGCCACGCGTCCCCATTTCTGAAGACTACCCAAATGTCACGAATTTTGTTTCTCAAAAGATGACAGCCCTGTTCGCATACGCATAGTTTCGCAGATATTTCGCATCGCTTGCGATGTACGAACGGAGTGACACTTACACCTGTATCGCTGCTGGTGACCGAAGCAGCGTATAACGTCTGCGTAGCGTTAGGGCTCTCCTGCGTTTCCCCGGTAGCCTCAGGTATCACCTCGGGCTTCGCCCCCGCGGTACCCCCACCCGGATTCAGTTCAGGCGAAGATATTGAGGAACATAGAACCGCGTTAGCTGAAGCTTGAGCCGATTCCGCAGCTGAAACGCTGACTGCAGCTGAATGAAGAAAAATAGTTAATTATTTCTTCATAAATGCATTGAAAATTAAGTGAGATGAATAATAAGAGCAGACAAGTGAATGTATTGAAGACTTCGATAATGACTAGCGCGCTCGGTCTGCGATATGACTGTTATGCAACTTTAGCAACGGCCAGTTATAGGATGAAATCTCCCTTGTAACTGGTTAAAAATGCAGTATATCATTAAAATTGTTTTACAATTTGAATGTTTCCCACGCCTTTCTTAAGATAGTAAAACTATCTCACAAATGACATTATGCGCGCTAATTGGTGTTAAGTTTGACATGAAACACATTGAAAAATTATATTTTTGTTTATTGACTTAAAAATATAAACCATTATTTATTTAGTAACAATGTTTGCTTATAATCTTAAACTTACTCAACTTTTTAACTACACAAAAAAAAATATCATTTTTTTTATCTGATTCTTGTCCGAGCCTAGGGTAGTGAAAAAGTAACAAGTGCTTGAAAAATTCGACAATTCAGGTGTCTAACAACAAAGGCAGAAAAGTCCACTAAACATAATGTTGGGTAATTTATTAAAAACTTATAGCTTTGTAAAATATTTAGAAAGCTACTGTACTGATGTATTTCCATATTTAAAAGAGTAATCATATTAGATATTACCTATTTGTGTAAGTTAATACATATCAAAATAAGCTTTAAACTTAAAATACATGATGGACTTTGCCATGTTTGTTAGTAAAGCGAGGACTTTTCTTGTTATGTTGTGAATGGTTAAGGACGTTACCGCTTTTGTTATAAATGAATATGGATTCTCAATTCCCAGGGCTGTCCAAAATAAGACATTAAATAAGAAAATCAAATTACTTTTATTTTCATTTATGAAAAACAAATTAAATCAGACCTATCTAATCAACAGCGATAAGTAGCAAAAATGAGATTATTTATTCTGCTGACTGCTGACTAAAACCTTTTCAATCTCGAGGTCCTCCATGCTTCGTTTAGCCGTTGGTCCCGGTTGTTTAATTTATGTGACGTCAAATAGCCTATAACCAGCCAATGATCGAGACTATTCTATCGATACCCCAATTGTCAAATTATGATAAGTACTCGTAGTTTCGAAGTTATGAGGGAACAGATGAATATACATATATACGATACATATACACACACGTATATATTCATGCCGTACAAAATCATGAACCTGCACGGTAGTGGGGTAATTATATCAAAATGAATTGTATATTTAAAACTTAAAAGTACGTGAGTAAAATACCTACCGACTCACACTTGATTAAATTTTACCAATTATAAATAAAAACAGTTGTTCAACCCTTGCAAAATTAGACACGAACCTTTGTTTTTTAGCTCTGTTTTGCTTCCAATTTTCTGGGTTTGCAGCTTTCTTCCTTGCTTTATTTTTAGGGACAATTTTAGGGTAATAGTCCATCTTCAAGAAAATACGTTTTGTATTAGTTATTATCAATTTAAACACTTTATATTCATAAAAAAATAGGAACACGCACAGAGTAGTTTCTTGTCGAGCGGCCATTGAAACTGCTAACTTGCGATTGGTCGAAATGGACATTACCACCTTTGTTATGTCATTCGGGGACTTTCCCGTATTTGTTCGGAAACGTCTCGAATAAACAGAGATTTCTTTGGGACATAGCCGGATTTCAAGGAAACGAATGATGTGGTTACGTCACAATGGTGTTGCTATTTGAAATAAAACAAAAATCAATGTTTCTTAATAAATGGGACTTTGCCGCCTTTGTTATTAGACCCCTGAATTCTATTAGGTCCTGGGTATTGGTTAGAGCAGTCGCCCGGATTTTAAAAGGTCGTGGGTTCGAGTCTCATCTGAGAGTGCCAGACACAAAGTGGATTTTTTAAGCGTTTTTTCATTAAGAATATATCAAATGTCTCTAATTTATTAATTATATTTGGTTATGTTTTTGAAAAATGTCCTTTCTATTTCCTATCGCGTTATTAAAATAAATGTTATTTTCTCTCAATTTTTTTAAAAATTACCATTTACCTTATTCTACTCTATATTTACATAAACATCGATTCTTTTCCGAAAATTCATGCAATAAATTAACAAAATAAAAGTTATTAAATCATTACGACAATATTTTGGGAATTATTCATAAATATTTCAATAATCTATACTTTCTATTTTATACTTATACTTATAACATAATTGTTGGTTACCAGCGGGCGGGGCGGGGTCCTTCGCGGGTAGATGGTGGTCCCCGGAACGCGACTGTTTGCCGGACAGTTTGGTGGGCACTCTACTGGGCGCGTTGGCGACGCTCAGTAACGTGTGCAGACTCACTAACGCCATATTGTCCGCACCGGACACGTGCAGGGAATTTGCCGACCTTACATAACACACTCATAGAGTAATCTTTGTTAAAACACATCACATACTTTACTGAATTTTATGAGGTTCGGTTTTGGATCGGGTCAATTTGCTGTCCCGGTGTACTTGTCAGGGTGTTGTGGTACATTTATAGCCTCAGATACTCCATAATACTGTAACGGTGCGTCGTACCACCGTTTATTTCGTCCTAGGTATCCGAATGCAAACTTTTTGTCTTTGATCTTCAACATTATCTATATTTATTATTAACTTTTCGTGATTTGTAATTTTGAGTAATCCAATATGCTCTTTATGAATGTCAGTTCGTGAAAATTCGTCGAGTTAGAAACATTACACATACTTAATTTCATTCAATACCAATCTTTTTGTAAAATTGTGTGTTAAAATTTACTTATTATTTCACGAGTTTGAAGTCAAGAAAAATGTAATAAAGTTAAATTACTGACCAAAACCGAAGAAAAGGGGTATGTAATTGTTCTATTTAACTATTTCGATATTATTATTTTGGTATTCATAAAAACTGTTTTTATATTCCTTTTTTGCTTGTGAAAGTTATTTTTTTGTTACTATTAATTAAATCAAGTTCTCCAGCTTAGGCAGACTTTTATTCATTTGCCTAAGCATGGAACTCGTCACAATATGGGGGCTTTAGCTATTTATCTTGGAATATGAGCAATTTATATGATGTTTTCTAGGTAAACAAATATTCTTTAATATGTTGAACATAAAATACCTTAAAAAGATACTTTTTTTTCCTTTTGAGGCAAAGATCCGATGACCACGCAGCTTTGTCCTTGGTAGATACTTTATTTTTTGATCACTGTCAGTGAGCTGTCACTGTCACTATGACATTGACATAAGGTGAAATTCGTTCGCCCCATTATGTCGCTAAGTTTAAAATATAAAATAAACCAATTAAACCAGAGAAAAATTGAGTTGTTAATATTTACCTAGATGTGGAGGGCAGGTTGGTATACGCATCTAGTGCGTTATTGTGAGCCGACGGTAATCTCCGCTCCAACGAGTAGTCGCCGTAAGCGTACGCGCCCTGTGATGATACGTCGTTGTTGCGACTGTCCTCCGCGAACATCGCCGTATTCAATATACCTTCAATATTCAATATAATCAAGTAATAGTCGGGTAATAATTTACTCAATCAACACAGAATATTTATTTTGTTGTGTCCAGCGTCTCCATTATCTCAAGGGAACCATTAAGAGAAATAAAAACTAACATGTATATGTTAGTTAAGGCTTAGAAATAGCAGTATACCAAATTTAGTCAAAATCCGTACAGAAAATTATTTATGTTGTGCCCAGCGTCTTCATGATCTCAAGGGAACCACTTAGTGAAATTAAAAGTACCACACATGTTAGTTAAGGCTTAGAAATATCAGTAGACCAAAATCCATTCAGTAATTTTTGCATGAAAGAAAAACAAACATACATCCATTCTCACGAGCTTTCGCATTTCTAATGTTTGTGTATTAAACTACAAGAGACACGTGAAAAGATCGCAGTCCTTATCGCCCACCAAACCGCACTGGGGCACCCAGCAGTGGGGATATTAATAAGCTGGCGATGATCATTACAAGTACTAACTTGGACTAGTCAATCTTTGGCCATTGATAATGTTGGACGCGTTGAACTTCCACTGGTTGCCGAACACTATTGAATCGCTGATACTGTTTCCATCGACGGGATTGTTCTGGGCGGGATTGTCCGCGTCCGCGCCGCCCGCGTTCGACTGCGACGCGCTAGAGTTGGACGTCGCACGCGTCGCTGCTATAGAGTTACGAGACATCTCTAGAGAGAGACGCTGAAACAAACAACCTAACAATGCACACTGATATTATTAATGCAAAATGCTTAAAAATCCATCAGCCCCAAGTACTCTAAGATGGGAGATTTGTTTGCATTAACCAATTTTAAAAATCCTTTTACCTACGGGTATTTATTACGCGTGCGAAGTCCCGGGAAAATAACTAATCAAATATCTATCACGATTTGTGAGAAAGATATTACACTACACATACATTGGCAGGTAATACAATGGCAAAACGCAAGTAGTTTAGATTCTATTGAGATACGATTGCATATAACGTGAAAATTGCAGAGTTAAGGCCCAGGTAGGCTTGAGGTCGGCGTCAAAACGGAAGATAGCGACAATATACATAGACTATAAACTCTATGGTTTCGTTCAGACACAGATAATAAGTTAATGAAGCTGCATTCAAATTTCTTCAATAAGTAATTCAAAATATATACTATGACAATCTTGGCAATAATATAAAATGCGTATCAGTTTTAAGGTTCTGTACCAAAAAAAGGAAAATACGGAAACTTCATATGAGTAAAATTAACTGGAGAAATTTGACAGTTTTGTACAGCCTATTGTGCTGTTGACTGTACATGATAGCAAACCCATAATAACTGTTAATCAAATTCGATCCGATAACGAACCTAACACCTAGCTTTTTATTTCTTTATTATATTTTAGTTTGTTATAATAGCGAGCCTTTTCGTTATAAGTTCTGATGGCAGTTTGGAATATAAAGGCTCGAAAATATCGTAATCTAACTAAAAAAAAATTCAAAACGCTCAAACAATTTTAATCAATACTTATCAACTACAAAGGTAGTACATTGTCTTAAGGGGGGCTGTAAAACTTGTTTATTTAAGCCGAACATTGATTTCAGTCAGAATCAATCACCTTACCTCTTTGAGATCATTGATCTGCAGAATGTGTTGATTCTGCATTGTAATCAGCTGGTTTATGTACCACTGTTGGTCACGACATCGCTGGTAGAAGGTAGGCGGCCGTACTTGGAACCTACGATATTTACAACATTTTCGTGTTAACAACATAGTAAGTCATATATAGGGACTTTTGGTGCACATTTTTTTCTATGGTTGACTATTCCAATAGTTGGCATTATTTCTATTACAGAAAATACCAATAGAATATTCTACTCTATTTGAAATAATACTTGCAACTGTTTATTTTATTTTAAAACAAATAATTCGGAAAAGTTTTCTTGCCTTAAAATATAATCAAAATTAATAGGTATATCATTAGGAATAATCTGACAGTTGTGGACAATGGCGGGAAGGGTTTCAAGTCACATGACACGCCGACAAAAAATCACGACTTTTAAATTTAATATATTAATATAATCGTAACGATGTAAATTTTAGTTTTTGTGCAATTTCACTGTCGAAACTAACTAATGTAAAGTTTATTGTGACAAAACTTTATTGTTAAAAAAGAAAAAAAACATGAGTTCTGGCAATGAATTTACAATAATAATTACGTGTAATGTTAAGCGGCTCGACCTTTTCGTTAGCTCGCTCTCTACGTCCGAATGTTCTACGTTGCTCTAACGAATGAATCGATCGGTGGAAGTATGTTTATAACTAGTAAGAGTATTTGTATGTTACACAATTCATTTAATGATACTTAGAAAAAATAGCAAAGATTTATTTTAAAAAAAAGTAGGAATCTATTTTTACATATAGAATGTTATGTATACCTCAGTATGAGTGTGTCAGTCTCCGGGTTGAGGTATCCCTCGCTGGCGAGTAAGTCCAGCCTGAAGAACCGATTGTAACCCCAACATTCGCCCACTTCGAAATCAGATGCGAACTCGCGCACTATATTCTTCGACGGATCGCGTGACACTTGGTGAAGCATCTCCACGCGATACTCGTACCTATACGATTGGAAATAGAGCTCAATCTACCGTTGATAAACTAATGTTTCGATATTGCATAAGCCAGTCATATATCTAGTTAAGATTGAAAATAATAAAAAAAAAGAATATCTTTTGGACTAAATCTCTTATCATACTCGTTATATTGTCAAGAAAACGACACCAGCCTGTAATGAGGACTGGTAAGCGTGTATTTATTAAAAAAAAAAAACTAAGAATGATTTCCTTTTCTCTTTGCTTTTAGTAGAAAAATATATAACATTAATGACACTGATAAGCACTTCATTATCTGTGAATTATGCCAAATATGTGACATCTGCATTCTTCACAGAGTCTACGACATAACGCTCATACGAAAGAATAATGACGTCATTGCAAAAAAAACAAGGTAACATTTATTGTCATTATAACTAACTACGGATGTATAGCCAGGAAAAATTTCGTACGTTGACTTTTATGCCTGTAAACATTTAAGGTTCACTTTACTGTAACGAAATTAACTAGATAAAGCTGTGCAAGCGCATTAGCAATATGTTAGTGCACGAGTGAAAGAGATATGTAATGCCGGATATTTGTACGAATTTCTCTGTTTCCGATTTAATCTAAGGGATTAATGGCAGTATCGTACTTCCAATTACATAGTAAGTATCGATACCCCCCATCTTTTTAATATGCTTGAGTACATCTTGAGGAACGCTGTATTAAATATTTACCTTTTTTTACTACTAAACATACATAAAAAGATGTATTTTGAGCTTCCTTTAAGTAATAATGCAATTCAGACAATGCTAACGGATCTGCAATATGCTCAGTTCAATATGAAAATATAATAAAATATTATCTCAAAAGTGCATAATTATTATAGCATGTGCAAACGTAATCACAAAATTGTACACTCAGCAACCCATGAGGTTACTATAAAAGGCAATTTTTTCGCAAATAAATGTTGCACTGTCAAGAATCAACACCTCCTGCGTATAATATCGTAAGTGTATAATAGAGTAAACTGTATCATTTCACAAACTTAGTGAAACAGCCAAAGTAAGTAAACTATTTATAAATAACCAACTTTATACATAACTGTACTCTAAGGCCAGGAATTTCAGTTATGATATTATACGTATATGTTGAAACTCGGCTTAAAATGAATTCGGCAAATTCGGCATTATTCAGTAACCTGTCGTAATGTCGACTCTATAGAAGTTGCTCAGAAACCAAACAAATAAAACAAGTAAAAAAAACTGAATTATGCTGCACAATTATTGAAACATAAACTACAAAAAACTTGTGTTCGTAATCACTTACCTCTTGCCTACCCTTAATTTAGCAGTGCTTGTAATATAAACGCAAAGTTATTTAACTATATCTAACATTGGGCCGTTTAAAAGCTCCTATTAATATCATTATGGACTATTTAAATATAATGTGTACCAAAACGTGATTGACGCATAAAATTGTGTTAAAAACTGTGATAAGCAATTAGGTATTCAAATTTAAAACTTTATGTTGTAAGGTTAATTGCGCTGCTATAATCGCTCATTTGTTTATAAAACTTGTGTGCAAACATTATTTAAGATACTGAATAGATCAGTGGCTGATGTAGGCACTAAACTTCCTTTGAGATATGATTTGGAGCTGCTATAAACGAAGCTTTACACTTTCTTATTATGTAGTTCTAATCAATCCCTTAAGCACGAAAAATTATCGAGTGTAAATCGAATTCTTCATCTATTTTGTATTAATACTTGAACAGCGCCACGTACCACCGGAAAGTAAAATTTCCAATAAGATATTTGTTGCCAAAATCTATTTGCACTTGATGATTTTTCATACTTTAAATTCACATAATAAAATTGTTATAAAATAAGAAAAAATTTTAATGTATAGATTTAATTCACTGATAATATTGAAAGTAGCACATGTTCAGATGGAAAAACCACAAGTCATGTCACATTGAAAAGTTTAAGTGTATAGTGAATTAATATATCGCACACCCAACAGATCAAAAACGTAATTATTTAAACATTATAATTTTTCCTCAGCCTAACTTTAACAAAAGTTATTAGAAGTAAATTTTTTTCATTTATTCCTCAGATATTCAAATGCAGTTTTTTACTTTAACCTATGTAATCCGAATGTAGTTTTCACTATTTTCAGTTACATCATTTTTCTGTTGGATAAACGATTTAAAAATATCAGAAATTCGACCAGGGCAGCATAACTTACTTAGACGTTTCGGGCAACCCGGCGCTCAGCTCTAGAAATACCGAGAGGTAGTTGCCTCTGACCACCCCGTTCCCGTCCGGGTACACCTTCAGCCTCCAGCAGAGGCCGTTCACGTGTAAAGGGGCTGAATAAACCGGCGCCGCCGCGTGTTGCAACTGCGTGAAGTTGGTCAACGGGAATGTGCTGCTATCGTAACTCGGCACGATTTCACTGGAACACCACGCACGTGTTAAATGGTAATTAACAGTGGACAAATGACAATCGCACCCTCTCTCTCTCTCTCATACACACACTCTCTGTGTACATGCCTATGGAAATCGGCCGGTACCGGCGCCGTCACAAAGCTGGCCATCGGTTTCTTTCTGACCTGATGGATCATTTTGGAGAGCTCACCACTTTTAGATATCAGCTCGGATCTGCGGAAAAAATAATTGTTTAGATATTAAAACCAGGTCATCACAAGAATTACTAACTTTGAATTGTTGTTTTGGTGTTGATTATAATTTTACATTTGAAGGGAGGATATGCCAACCTTATAATTTATAGTACATTTTCAAATTCTCCCTTTAATTGTATTTTATGTCAAAAGTACATTGAAGATTAGTAAAATAAAACTGAATTAAATGTTCAAAGTTCACACTACAGTAAAAATCTCCTAAGATTATTATTGAATCGGCTTAGATATGGTATCCAAAATGGTTGCTAGTTTTGTAGCTTATTAAAGCAATAAACAGGGATGTTTACCGAGTGCTTGCATGAAGTTGGTGTTCTATTTCTTGCAACAAATGCTCGAGCTGCTCAGTTTCTTGTGTGAGGCTATTCTTCTGGCCCATCAGCGTCAGCAACTTGGCCTTCAAAGCGGAATCCAAACGGGATATCATCAGTTCTACCGCATTTCTTATCTCGCGCACTCGCTCATCTTTAGCTGCTCTCACAGATTCGACATTACGCTCCTGAAAAAAAAATTGTTTGCAAATGGTAAGCCAAGCAAAATAACCATCATTTTGATATAATTTGTAAAAATACAGGTGCTTGTATCCTAAACTTCATAGTACTGGTTTATACATTATAGAGTATAAACCAGTATAAACCAGAAATTGTTGACAAAATCATTATTGCATCGATTTTGAGCTATATAATATTAATGCATTAAACTGATAAGATTCTAGCACTACTTCTTCTTGTCTTTTAGATAAGAATGGACACAAGAAACTTATCAGGTCTTATCAGATGTAATGACATTTGCATAAACTATTGTGTTAAGTAATAATTATGGTGTGAAGTAGCTCGGTGGCGTAGTGTATAAGCGCCACGGCCGGCGATCGTTGTTGCCAAGCGACTTTCGCAAGGGTCGGTCACGGGATGGGTGACCAAAAAAATATTATCTCGAAAGGCACGTTACAAGTGCTTCGGAAGGCACGTCAAGCCGTTGGTCGCGGCTGCATTTGCAGTCGTTAATACCCTCCAATCCGCATTGGGCCAGCGTGGAGGGTCATGGCCCATCCTCCTTAACCAGCCATAAGGAAGGCCTGAGCTCCTGCAGTGGGGACGTAAAAGGGCTAATGATGATGATGATGGTGTTACTATAGAATACACTTCCTGCATATAATATTGTAACTGCATTTTCCTAACATCATCGAATCTCTTCAATGGACTTTAAACCTTAACATACTAAGAATAGAATTCAAAATCACTTTGGCATATTGTGATAACCTTTCTTCTTCTTCTTCTTCACACTATAACATGATATGTAATGTCGATTGCGACAGTGACTTTTAAAAAAAAATTGAGATATATATCATTACTGTTATTTACTTTGTAACTCATGTTGTTCTTTTTGTATTGAGTAATTACGGGTACTCGTTATATACAATATGTTGTAATATCTTTAAAATTGAAATGTTGTTTAATGACTGTTTGTGCCAAAATAAGAGAAAAAAAAATTAAATTAATGTTAATTGGAATTATCTAAGGGAAAACACAAATATCTTTGAAATCTAATAAGAAATTTCTAATGCAAGAATTGACTGCTACCTTTTGACAGTTTCTTGATCATTTAAATCATCATACATTCTTAAAGCGATTACCACTACAAAAGTTACATTTTCACACAAATCATTAAAACAATGTCTATATCTTTGAGAAGGCTTGCAAAAGCTTTTCAAATTTAGATTAGACTACAGGTTAACATAATGATGTGCAAAAGAATGGTATATAAAAAAGTAGCTCACCACATCCTGCACAAGACTTATAAGCTCCATAAGTCGACGTCGCAACTGGGACACTTCGTCGCGTATCTGCGTCACATGCTGCTCATACACCTCCTCCAGGGGCTTGAATGTGTGTCCTGTGTGGGTGCCGCCCCACAGTGCACACTGGTGGCAGATACACCGTCGACATGTCCAGCAGTATACTGTGAGCTTTTCTTGGTGTGTCGGACATCTAGACAAAATAGTCAATAATTATGGTTTACATATTTGACAACTAGGAGAGAAAAATTTATTATGACACATATAGGTTTTTTAATTTACAAAAGTATTACAAAAAGTGTAAACAATATAAACATGTATTAAATTAGTTAAGATATTTGTCTATTATGTGCTTTAAGGCATTGTCATGGGATACTATGTGATGATTACAGAGTGCTCTATTATAACATAACTGGCTATCTATCTGTTTTCACCTGAAATAATAATAATTAAATATTTTATTTGTTATTGCTATTTTTTACCTTAATCTTATCAAAATATATCTCTCAATGTGGAAACAAAGAAACGGTTCATACCTCTTTATTAGTATAGAACATTTTTAAATTAAGTTTGTATTAAGACAACATAATATAAACTACAGTTCCAAAAAAAATGGTATTTCAAGTTATGAATAATTCTTTTTTACTTTTTATTCTTGCCCTGTTAAGTCAATAAAATGTTTCTTATTATAACTAAAACAGTGTCTTTTCATTAATATCAGTACAATCACAACCATGTCACAACAGAACATAAAATTTCACCATTAAATTTTAAACCTTATTCTGTCAACAGTTAAGTTAAAAAATTTATTACAGAAATTTGTCCTTCTTTAAATGATGCTGTGTGTAGATTATTTTTAAACTAATAATATGTATATAAGAATCTAAGAATACTATATTTGAACTGGACTGGCTGTGCAAAACTTAGTAATAACTACACACACACACACACACACACTATTTATTAGAGCAAAAAACTTTTGGCTACTGACACATTTTCAAAATATTTCACTTCAAGTTAATCCTAGTAATTATTATATTTGCGGTAAATGGATATTACTTAGTCAGTGGCGTAGCTACTAAGGGGCTAGGCGGGGCAGTGCCCCGGGGCCCTCAAGCTCAGGGGGCCCTCGAATCTTTACCAGAAAATCTCAATCAAACTCATCTTTTGAAAATTTCTCCCATCCTCAAAATAAAAGTGACAGGTGACAACTCGAGTTTAATCATGGAAACTCAGTTGTGAGTAATTCCAAAGTTATAATTAGGTACCCTCCTTTGCGTCGCGCAGTCGGGTAAAAAGGGAATTCCCGTAAATTATTTGTGTGGGTTGACAGTGTTATTAATGTTTTCATCAATTTGTTGGAAATCAGTATCTGCATATTATTATTTATCGATATGCGTTTTTGTGATTCGCGATTGTGAACTTCGAGTCAAGATTTTTTCGAGAATGGTTAAAAAGTTATTGTATCAGGAGTTTTTTGTACTGGTCCATACAAAAGTTCAATTTTATTTGATTGTAGTCCGTCAAACCGTCAAATGTAGTAACACTAACGGCGATAAAGTGTTTGCCGGGGATTCCCCAACGACGCCTTGTATCGTATCATTTTCATTCATTCACGTTTCGCTTTCCTTTTATTTGTAACGTTGTCAGTGAACAGTGAGTACCTACTTGAGTACAATCTTACATAAATATTGCATAAATAAATTAGAAAACTAATATTATGGACAAAAAAAAAAGAAACCCGGTGGTGCATTTAAACGCAAACAACGCCAAGAAAGAGGAGAAAGTAAACAAAAATTGCCCAAAATTGACAAGTTTTTTAGTCAGCCTTCTGCAAGTACTTCTGGATCAAATATTTCTATTGATAATTTTTGTAAATAGCTTGCATGGCGATAGGTTAAATAACAGTAAACTGGTGCAACGTATCTATGATTAAATAAATATATAATAAACCCTTGAATCTTTTTTATTTCGTTTTATTGCCCAATACCTACACCAAGTATAAAAATAATTGTAATTTATGTTGTTAGTGTTTAATAGTTTTATTACCTGCCTATGCACGAAAAAGAGGTGATGATAAATTTATATGTATATTTAATGGTTTTACTTCAAAAAACCTTACCAATTTTGATAGCAGTGGGCCCCATTTTTTTATTTGCCCCAGGGCCCTAGATTACCTAGCTACGCCACTGTACTTAGTCTATTTTAATATAACAGCTCTAGATAAATAAAATTATGATGATGAAAATTAATTGACCAGCAGTTAATTGCCCATGGAGTCATATCATTGTAAACTAATTTATACAAGAAATTAGGTGGATATGAAGAGACATAACATGCTAAAAATCTAGCATATTTACCTATACATCATTTACATTATACTATAAAGCCACAGTGGGCATCAGCTGGCCCCACATTTTGAAAAACCTAATTTATAATGGGATAGATATTCAGAGATGAAATAATATAATATCATATTATTTCATCTCTGAATATCTATCGCAAAAATTATAAGCACTACAACACTTCTTTTCAACGCAGCCTGTCAACATATTTGCACACTCAAATTTGGCCTACATGTCCTCGGTTGCCCATACCTGCTATAAAGCAACAGTTGTCTCTGAACAGTGACATGTGAAAATTGACAATCGCTTGGTAATAGCTGTTAATTATATATTTCTATTGTAATAGAAAGGCTTTATAATTTTTAACTAGGCTAAAATGCAATCATGGCATAATCATTGTAGTTACCTATCCCTAAAACTTTCTCGCTGAGTGGCCGAGTTGGTCTGCTGCATGGTTTCTATTTGTTGGGTAACTTCCTCAACCCAGCGACAGTTGACCAACTCATGCAGATGTAGGGCCGCTCGACAATGAGGGCACTGAGATCTCTGCTCTGTTAACCATCGCCGCACGCAAGCGTAGCAGCACAACTTCGAACAGTGAGGACATAGGTGTGCATCCACCAGCTTCTCCATACAAATGAAGCAGCGGAATACCTCAGCTAAGGTCTGCAATCATCATACAATTATTCCCATACATTCTTAGGTCAAGTTTACCATACTGTCAAAAATGTAGGCCACATCGATTTACCTCAACGATCTGTTCTTCGCCATTTCCATTCCCTTTGTCCCCTCTCGAGGCCATCTTCACAATCTGCTTTCCTTGCTATGGAGTCGACAAATCGTTCACCATAATTTAGTCATTTTTATAAAATTATAAAAAAGCAATAGGACATGTTTCGCAACACGAGCGTCAACATACGAAACCACTTCCGTGTTCCAATATCAATCGAATCAAAATAAAAACAAAAAAAATATGATACCATACCCCTAAATTTATTTACCCTATAAAAATGTTAAATCGATTTTTGTGTTGCTCGAATAATTTTCAAAATTAGCCCAGTCAAATCAGCGTCACGTCATTAAGCTATTGATTTGGGCATCGCAAAACTTCTCTTAAATTCATTAAACCCTGTCTGTCCTGTGTTTTAATGTATGTAATATAAGTGATCATGAGTCAAGGGATAGTCAAAGATCTCCAAAATGTATATCTCAGTTTCTCGCTCCAGTTATGTCCAATGTGTTAATTACGATCATTAAATAAAATAAAAGAGTCAAAAAAATAATTGTTTTTCAACAAATGCGGGTAGAATCAGTAACCTTGTAACATTGCAAAGATAATGTTGCCAAATCCAAAATTAAAGTATTGATTTTATAGTATATAAGCAACAGATTTACTTGTGCCGGTTTTGGATTAATTCAAAAATTATAGTATAATATCCAAATTTCTTGTCAACAAAATATATCAAAGGCCTTGTCTGTGTTAAAAAATCTACGAACCATGAAAAATTTGACATATGCACTGACACAATATGTGAGGTTTCTTTACATCCTTTGAATCAAAGAACGGTTTTGATAATAAATCTTTATTTCAGACCCGGTGATCCATATGAAATACAAATTATATAAACAGAAAAAAAAGACATTACAATCAGATGGCAATATCCAACAATCGTCTATAAGTAGGTATATGTTGCGGTATACACAAGTCAGTTAGACCCTTTATTATAGCATTATTAAACCTGCCACCCTGGACATGAAGGATGCCATTTCACAAGTACTGCAATAATATTTTAATCCCATTAGATGTCGAAAGACGCTATTTTATGTTATGTATACCTACTTGGATCATAATATAATCTATGTATGCTTAAGATTTTGCATCAAAGATTTTATATGTTTACCCCATCAAAGTTGGCGAGATCCAAGAATTCTCGCACCCAATCGCTAACTTTTTACATTTCCCATTTACTAAAATAAATCGATTAACTTCAGGTTTTTTGCCGTGTTCTCAGACACATTATCAATCAACATATCAATTTTGTTGTTGATATGATTATACCCCGTGGAACAGTTCGAGCGATACTACCGAGCTTCTTCAAGAGTACATCCGATGTGTCCTGAAATGTGCTAAACAGCACACATAGCAGTACTCATTTTCCCATTCTTATTTTGATTTTAGATCAAACTTCGCCTACTAATCACCACTCCCTCTTACTCCAGTTTAGGTTACACAAAGCTGATTGGTCGGCCTATTCCAGAACGCTAGACAGCAAATCTGTTTCACTTCCTTTAATTACAACAGTAAATAGTAAAGAGGCTTACGAAATATTTACTGAGATGTAAATAGACGCATACGTAAAAAAAGTTTCGCTCCCATGGTGGGACTCTGAATGCTCAAAAGCTATCAAAAAACGTAAAGGGTCGGAGAAAAGTTATAATGTCACCGCTCAAACCAAAGAGATGTTTAAACACAAAAAAAAGAATCGATTAGATTAATTTTTGAGAAACATGAGCTCCTGGCACTCTCTCGGCAATAGTATGGAAGCAATTAAAACGATTCCTTAGAGCCCGCAAACGTGCTAATCTGACGGCTAATGATCCCTCTATCTGGATCAACCTATTCGCTGACAAATTAGCCTTTCCATTTTCCCCAAAAATTGATTGCCTTCCTGTGAAACTACATGTCAGAGTCTCTAGAGGACAGAGTCTTCTAAAGAAAACTTTTATGAGGTTTTTTTCATTTGAATAACTCCAACAAACTCTTTCTGGTTTAAGGGACCTTTATCTAGGCTTGGATGGCATTCCATACTCTTTTCTAATAAGAGGCTCCGATACAGTCAAAGAATATTATTTAAAGTTGTTTAACATATTTTACGGTACCGGTTCCATTCCAGTTCAATGGTCTTAGAAAATAATTATCCTTTTATTAAAACCAGGGAATGATCCTTTGCTCCACTCACTCTTCCTACCGCCCTATCGCTCTATTGCTCTTTCATCTGTCCTCCTAAAAATCGTTGAACATATGATAAAAAACCGCCTGGAATGGATTGTAACCGTAATATCATCGCTAAGTCACAATATGGTTTCAGAAAAGACTAAAAGTACTATGGAGAGTCTCGGTTTATTAACATCAGATATTCGATTAGCATTCAAAAACAAAGAATACGTTGTTGGTGTCCTCGTAATTGTTGCTTCTGTTTAAGATAATGTCCTTATTCCAGTGCTCAGGCATAAATTGCAACAACTGAGCATTCCTGAAAAATTAGCACGGTTTATTTGCAACTCAATCACAACTAGATCCATTCTGATAAGGCACTAAAATAACTCAGTAGTAAGGACGTTGTGGAAAGGGTTACCTCAAGGCTCAGTCCTAAAACCCATTTTATATAGTTTATACACGCATGATATGGAACTGTCGGCAAATTCCTTTTGGGACACTCTGCAATATGTAAATGATATAGCTCTATACGTACGAGTAAAATCCATACCGGAAGCAATTCACCTCGGGGAATGGTTGGAAAAACACAGGTTATCAATCTCCCCACCAAAGTGTAGTGCTGTTATCTTCACCAAAAAACGAACTCCAATAATGTTCAACAAGGTAGAAAAAGGTATCAATGTTCTTCATGCGCAGTGTGGTGTTTGGTGAGTTGCACACCCCGGTACCCAAAACTACTATATAACGCTATAGTGAGCAGTAATTTTGATTAAGGTTCCTTCCTTCTCGACCCTTGCAAACTATCTGCATTAGAAAAAATAAAATAAAAAATAATATAACAAACTTCAATCAAAATGTCTGCGTATTATTCTAGGGGCTATGAAGTCCTCCCTCATTAATGCCCTACAAGTAGAAACTGCTGACCACCTCTTTTTCTTCGTAGGCATTATCTTAGTGACAGATTTTTCCTCAAATCTTACAAAATGAATCTTACCCATTGCTAGCTATTCTACACAAACTTGTCGATGCTACTGACATAGGTCCCAATTCACATCAATTCATTCGCTATATTTTAACGAGTTACTCAGAGTTCTGTCGCCCTTCTATAATGATCGAGAAATTCCCCCGTGATCCACTTTTCCTAAATAGCTTTGAATCGTTGTTTTTTAACCAGCACATAGTACGTAATTTGAGCATTGAAAACATTCTCACAGTACAAACCAAGATTTAAATAAAGTTATTGCTAAAAATCGGCCTCATTGGCTTCTAAAGTTTACGGATGCCTTAAAACTTAATACTGTTCTAAACGTGGGGATACCTAAGTTTAGAATAGTATTAAGTTTTAAAGTTCCTTCACCCTCAACGGTTTTTACAGGTGAAGCCATCGCTATTCTAGAAGCAATCTTATATTGTGAATCTCACAACCTAATCAAACTATAATAAATCTCTTCCAACCTTTTCAGGTCTAAATTTTGCTTTTATATTATACTTAAAATAGACACTTTTGCGTTCCTGTCCCGTCCCTGTCCACTTAACCAAAATTAAAGTTAAGGACAATTCCCTTTGATCAGTTGTACATGTTTTATTTTATTGCCCCAAACTTCGATACTTCTTGTATGATGTCCTTAAAAATGATATAGTCTCAGCCCTTAAATGTCAATTTTTTTTATATTAAAATAAAAGTCCAAATATGTTATCCCACTTACTAAATCGGTAGCTATAGGTTTATTTGTTGTATAATGTCCTGCGTGTTGTAAAATGTGTCTTGTTTCAGGATCGATTAGAAGTGAAATTAAAAAAAAACCCTTTTCATAAATGTCCCTACCTTGTACTAGGGATGATCGATGTTAAAAAAACATCGATGTTGGAAAACATCAATTATTTTTTACAATAATTTACAAACAAATAAAATACAGTGAATATTTCGGAATTTATTAAGAAACATAATAAATAATTACATATTCCAATAGTTATATTTCTTTCTTTTTTTATATTTGCAAAAATATGGTTTTATAAGTTGTTATCAATTTTTAAATACCCAGCATATTTTGTCGTGCAAATATTACAAGTCATTTTTAAAAAGAAATATAAAGCTGTCAACATAATTTCAAAAAATAAAATACAAATTGTCACTAAAATTGAATAAAATTGATATAAAAAAAATAAAAAATAAATGTCAGCATCTTTATCAAATAATTAAAAAATTAATGTCAATTATAATTATATAAATTATCAAAAATGTCAATGCCAATGAAAATGTTACCTAGAAAAACAGATTTACGATTATATGTCATACATTTTTATCTTTAAAGAAGTCATTCTACAATGAATGATTTAATATAATTCATCAATTAAAAAGTCAAACAAATGCTTTCTAAATTTAGTAAATGTCATTGTTTTTATCCGATTAGGTAGATGATTGTATATACGGATTGCCATACAGTACGCATTTTTTGACGTCATTACAAGTCTTTGAATAGGAATGCGTAAGTCATCTCCTTTTCTACCTCAATAAACAAAGTCCTTGTTTTGTTAAAACATATGGAAATATTTGTTTACAAACACTGCCATTTCAAATATGTATAAACATGAGAGTGGCAAAATTTTCAAAGATTTAAATAAAGGTTTACATGAGTCTAAATAACTTGCACCACATCATCATCATCATCATCAGCCCATATTCGTCCACTGCTGGACATAGGCCTCCCCAATTGCACGCCATCTATTTCGATTTTCGGCTGTTCGCATCCAGCTCCTGCCAGCCATCTTGCGCAAATCATCGCTCCACCGCGCCTGAGGACGTCCTACACTACGTTTGCCGAGACGCGGTCTCCACTCAAGAACTCGTTTACCCCAACGGTTAT